TACTACTACTACTACTACTACTACTACTGCTACCAATATTACTCGTAACTGCTACCTGCTACTATTACTACTACTACTACTACTACTACTACTACTGCTACGACTACTACTACTACTACTACTACTACTACTACTACTACTACTACTACTACTACTACGACAACTACTACAACTACTACTACTGCTAGTACTACTACCAACTTTTACACTACAAGTACTACGACTACTACGACTACGACTACTAGTACGACTACTACTACGACTACTACGACGACTACTACTACGACCACGACTACTACGACTACGACTACTACTACTACTACTACTACTACTACTACTACTACTACTACTACTACTACGACTACTACGACTACGACAACTACTATTACGACTACTACTACTACTACGACGACGACGGACGGCTACGACGACTACTACTACTACTACTACTACTACTACTACTACTACTACTACTAATACTACGACTACAAATACTACTACTAATACTACTACTACTACTACTACTACTACTACTACTGCTGCTGCTACTACTACTACTACCACTACTACTACTACTACTACTACTACTACTACTACTACTACTACTATTACTACTAAGAAAAATAATATTACTACGACTACTACGGCTACGACTACGACTGCGACTACGCAGTGTGAAATTACGATTAGTACTACTACCACTACTACTAGTACTACTACTACTACTACTACTACTACTACTAATAATAATAATACTACTACTACTACTACTACTGCTGCTGCTGCTGCTACTACTACTACTACTACGACTACTACTAATAATAATAATACTGCTACTACTACTACTACTACTACTACTACTCTACTTATACGACTACTTCTTCTTCTTCTACTACTACTACTACTACCACTCCTACTACTACCACTACTACTACGACTACTACGACTACTACGACTACTACGACTACTACGACTACTACGACTACTACTACTACTACTACGACTACTACTACTACTACTACTACTACTCCTACTACTACTACTACTACTACTACTACTACTACTGCTACTACTACTACTACGACTACGACTACTACTACTACTACTACTACTACTACTACTGCTACTACTACTACTACTACTACTACTACTACTACTACTACTACGCCGACTACTACTACTACTACTACTACTACTACTACTACTACTACTACTACTACTACTACTACTACTACTACCAGTGGAGCGGGCGCAACGGCGGGCAGTGAAGGGTGTCTGCGTTCAGCCACTCCTGCCCCTTCCACCATGCCCAATGCATTCCATCCCCTATACCTCACTGTCCCTCCTCGTCCTCCTCCCCCTCCTCCACCTCTTCCTCCTCCTCCTCGTCCTCCTGCTCCTCCTCCTCCTCTCTCGCTACGTCGCCCGCCTCCTTCCTCATGTTCCCCCATTCCTTTCCATCAAAAGTAACTCCTCCCTGTCGCACCCCGAGACGTGTCAATAGGGCGGACCGGGCGGGTTGCCTAAGACGACCTCACCATTTCTGACCCTTTCGCTTGAACCTTGCAACAGCTTCACGGATGGAGGGCGGGTCGTTTCCAAAATATGGCTCTCGCTCTAGCGCCGCACACATGCGTCTTCAGCTGCTGCAAGAATTTCACGGATGGAAGGCGGGTCGTTTGCAAAATGTGGCTATCGCCTTAGCGTCGCGCACATTCGTTGCAAAAGCTTGCAAGGATTTCACAAATGGAGGATGGTACCTTTTCGAAATGTGGATATCGCTCTAGCCCCGAGCACATGCGTCTTAAGAGCCTACTGCTGTTTCAAGCATTGTTATGATTGACGTATCAGAAATTGTATTTAAAAAGCGGTGTAAGACTGACTGAACGCAACAATCACGTTGATTCGTGGTGCTGCGGTCCCAAAAACTGTGTTCTGGCACGGTTCCGGACCGTCAGGTCGCAAAAGTAACAGTGACTCGCGGCGTTGAAATCCCAGTAATGGTGTTTTGGCACGGTTCAAGATTTCCAGACGGCTGTCCTCCAACGGGACACTTCCCTCAGTGAAAATAAACCCTTGTGTGGAGACCTATGAAGAAGGAACTTGGAGGGATGGTTCGATGACGCGTTGAGGGTCCTCCTTCTTTTTCTTCCTCCTCCTATTTATCCGCCTCCCCTCCCTCTCCAGAGCTTCTGTCGAACGTCCAGCCAGCTGGGGTTCACGCCCAGGCCTGGCCAGCGGACTCGCTCATGACGCCCACGCAGTCCTCGTTGGCGTTGTCGGGCTTGTCCTTGCCAGGGTCAGGAGACCGCGAGGAAACGCAAGATGCATGCAACAGCCCGCCAGGCCACCTGCGAGTTGCAGGTCTAGCGGAACGGCGGCCGCATCGCGGTCGGAAGCGTGCGAATGTACAACCGAAGGCGCCAACATGAGGAACATTGGCGTTGGCACGGCTGCCACCGAGCCGCGCGAAAAGAGACCCCGCTGGGATCCACAACAGGACACGCTCTCGCAAAATACGCTCACAGTCCTGCCCCGGTCGCAGTTTCACCTCGGATCCGGCCCTGCTTGCCAATCCACACCTCGGGTGGAGAACTTGCTCTCGCCAGCCTGTGCCGAAGCTTGCTCGAAATCGCCCACTGGAGCCACCCGAACACCATGCCAAACTCTGTGTCGGATCGGGTGGGGCCACGGGCGGGGACGAGGGATGAGCCCTCACGGCTGGGGAAGGCGAAGGAGGAGACTCCGCAGCATCGCCTTCGAGCCTGTGCGCTACGCCGCTGTCTTGCCATGGACTGGGCACGTGGCGGACAAAGGCAAAGGGGCAAGGGGGGCGCAGGAGGAGTGCGAGCGCGGGTTCAAAAGGCCGAGAAGAGGGAGAGCGCAAGTGGAAGCGGAGAAGGGACGAGAAGAACCAAAAACAAAATAGCAGCGGCAAGACGGTGCGGGGGCGGGGAAAAGAGAAGACGAAGAGGACTACGGGCAAGAGGACGACTAGGAGAGCAGGATGGAGGACAGAGGACTAGACACTGTGCCTGTCTCGCCACGCTCAACGACCCTGCGAGGGTCTAGGCGGTGGCGCCGCTGCGTTGGCGAGCGTACAAATGCGAGTTGAAGGACCGGAGATCCGTGGACAATTAGCCTGGCGAAGGACCCAACCATATGCTGTTGTGAAAATACTGCAATTGTGAATGCCATCTTGGCCCGCGCTCCCTATGTGGCCACGGCTTTCCGCCGGAGCCCGACATGCTCAGGGGCACGTTCGTGGCCGTCTTCGCGGGCGCCGACGACGACAAGGACGGCGCCCCTCTCACCGAGGAGCAGAAGCAGGAGAAGGCCTTGAGAGCCATGAGGGAGGAGGTGGCGTTGCACGTCGACAAGGCGGAGTACGACGCCCAGGCGCGGTTGTTGAAGCAGCACAACTATGGGGCCACGATCCTCGTGAGGGATGTGCCGCAATGGCCCGGGGCCGCCGTGCGAACCCTGCCACTGGCGCCTTCGGTGGAGCTCCCTATGGGGCCACGGTCCTCGTGAGGGGTGTGTCGAAATAGCCCGAGGCCGCCATGCGAACCCTGCCACTGGGGCCTTCGGTGGAGCTCCCTATGGGGCCACGATCCTCGTGAGGGGTGTGCCGAAATGGCCCGAGGCCGCCATGCGAACGCAGCCACTGGGGCCTTCGGTGGAGCTCCCTATGGGGCCACGATCCTCGTGAGGGGTGTGCCGAAATGGCCCGAGGCCGCCATGCGAACGCAGCCACTGGGGCCTTCGGTGGAGCTCCCTATGGGGCAACGATCCTCGTGAGGGGTGCCGAAATGGCCCGAGGCCGCCATGCGAACGCAGCCACTGGCCGCCTTCGGTGGAGCTCCCTATGGGGCCACGATACTCGTGAGGAGTGTGCCGAAATGGCCCGAGGCCGCCATGCGAACGCAGCCACTGGGGGCCTTCGGTGGAGCTCCCTATGGAGCCACGATCCTCGTGAGGGGTGTGCCGAAATGGCCCGAGGCCGCCATGCGAACGCAGCCACTGGGGGCCTTCGGTGGAGCTCCCTATGGGGCCACGATCTTCGCGAGGGGTGTGCCGAAATGGCCCGAGGCCGCCATGCGAACGCAGCCACTGGGGGCCTTCGGTGGAGCTCCCTATGGGGCCACGATCCTCGAGAGGGGTGTGCCGAAATGGCCCGAGGCCGCCATGCGAACGCAGCCACTGGGACCTTCGGTGGAGCTCCCTATGGGGTCACGATCCTCGCGAGGGGTGTGCCGAAATGGCCCGAGGCCGCCATGCGAACGCAGCCACTGGGGGCCTTCGGTGGAGCTCCCTATGGGGCCACGAAACGCTGTACTGGGTGGGTGAAACGAAGGAAGAGGGGGAGGGGGGAGGAGGAAGGAGAGGAGGAGGAGAGAAGGAGAGGAGACGCGGGGACCGTTTCTTCAAAACGAGGACCCAACACCACAGGATGGTTGGGAAAAACAAGCCACCTCAATCAGCGGCATGTCTTCTGCGATGCACGTATGACTCCTCCAATTGTTTACCATTGACTAGATTGCGAAGCGAGTTCAGGAGGGGAGGAGCGAGAAAACGGTCGAATAAGGGATAATAGATACCCTCCTTCGGGGAAAGGCGACACCGTGAGCCATGCTGGTACCGGCCCGAGCAAACATGCGCGATGGGGAGGCGCGCCCGTGTCTGCATAGGCTTGAGCTCGCTAGGCTTGAGCTCGCTCAAGCTTCGCTCTGTCGGGGGGGGGGGGGGCTGACGCCGCTTCGCTCTGTCGGGGGGGGGGGGGGGGCTGACGCCATGGCTGACACTGACACCATTCAGGCCCGAGAAGGGGGAGGGGGGCGGGGAGCTCGCTCAGGGGGGGGGCTGACGCCATAGCTGACGCCATTCAGGCCTGGGAGGGAAGGGAGGGGGGACCGGAGGAGGGAGGAGGGGGGGGGGCTGACGCCATGGCTGGCGCCATTCATGCCAGGGAGGGGGGAGGGGGGGGAGCTCGCTCAAGCTTCGCTCTGTCGGGGGGGGGGGGGAGGGGGGGGGGGAGATTCAAGCCCGGGAGGAGAGAATCGGGGGGTGGGGGGGGGGGGGCCATGGCTGACGCCATTCAGACCCGGGAGGGGGGAGGGGGTGATGTTATTTGCTTTTTGGACACTCGATTTTGAAAATCCTTACGATACCGAAAATCTGTAAAGGATGTCGGCATGCGCGCGCGGCGACGCACGCGTGTGCACTTCGTCCACGTTTTTGCAAGGGGATATTGAAAACTGCTGGTTTTTGATAAACGATTGCGCGCGCATCGCATTCGTTACAGAAGATGGCGGGAGGCGTCGACGCTGGCTCGGCAGCGGTAGACGCCACGATGATGGTCGCGATGGCGGCGGCGATGTTGACAACGACGACGGCGCGGCCAGCGACGGCGCCGATGCTGATCGCGCCGACGATGGCGGCGCCCTCGCGTCGGCGATGAAGGTCGCGGCACGATCTCGACGCACGAGAGCGGCCCGCGCGGCGCCATTTGACGCGGATCGCCCCCCCGCCCCCCCGCCGCCCCCAGCACGCGCGCAAGGGCGCGCGAGTGATTTTCGGCGCGCGGCGCGAGAGGCCCGATGGGCAGAATGCCATGAACGTGTTGAGAACCGTGGGTTTTCTTGAGGATTCGCACGAGCGCGAGCGCAGCCTTGTCTGAAAACTGACGTTGCGAAACCATGTGTCTTTGTATGTGCTCGGGGCGCGCGGTTTCGAAATCCTTACGATGCCGAAGATGTTTGAAGGATTTTGACATGCGCGCTCGACGGCGCGCGCGCGCACTTCGTCTCATGTGTTGCAAAGGACTCTCGCGACAGCACGCGCGCAAGGGCGTTCGAATGATTTCGACATGCACGCGCGAACCCCGTTTGGGAACGTTTTATGATAATGTTGGGAAAACGACGGGTGTCTCAAGAATTCGCCAGAGCGCGCGCAAGAGTTGTTGTGGAAAAATATTCGTTGCGAAGCCATGTGGTTTTAAACGTTTCTTGGACACTCGATGTTGCCGCCCGTGCGCGCGCATAATACGTTTTGCAGAGGATGGCGGGGGGGTCGATACCAACCCACCTGGGGTGGTGTGAATCCCCCGTGGCATGGTGGGACTTCAGATTTAGGATGGACGATAAGACAGAATCAAATGTAAATTGCAATACGAAAAAGTGTACCCAGACGACGGCGGCGACGAGGCGGCGACGGGAAGGCGACGGCGGCCACATAGCCGCCAGACCGAAGACACGGCCCAGATGAGGGGCGGCGACGAGGCGGCGACGGGGCGGCGACGGCGGCCACATAGCCGCCAGACCGCCCAACTGGCCCAGCTCGAGCAAGGAGATGCGCCTTCCTGCGGCCTCGCGGGGGCTCTCCGGGAGCCGTCAGGAGGCGTCTTGGAGACCTCTTGGGCCGTCTTGGCGCCATCTGCAGCCGTCCTGGAGCGCCCTGGGCCCGTCTCGGACACTCTTTGGGGGTCGCCTGGAGAGCGTCCAGGAGCCAGCGCGGGCGGTCCCGCGAGCATCCAGGCGCCTCCGGGCGGGGGGGGCCACAGCCACTCACAAACAAATATGTTCTGGAAGGGAAAACAAAAACTCTATTCGCATACAGCCCTAGAGTCCAAAAGGCGAGAACGCCCAAATCCTTCCAACCTTTGAGAAATCAGCGAATTGTGCCTCTCTTGGGGGCCTTTTGGGGGCCTCGTGGGGGCCTCTTGGAGGCCTCTTGGAGCTTCTCGGGTGCCTCTTCGAGCTTCCTGGAAGCCCCTCGGGGCCGACGGCTCAAAATGTCCGTTTGGGGCCCCCCTCTGGACCCCCTCTTGGAGCCGTCTCGGGGGCCTCCTAAGCCGACTTCGAGGCATCTTTGGCGGTCTTGGGGCCCTCTCGGGGCGTCTTGGGGCTCTCTCTTTGTGGCCTCTTGGGCAGTCCTGGGGCGTTCTTGGAAGCCTCCCGGGCCGCCCTGGAGCGTCGGGACGCCGAAAAGGCGAGACAGCCAAAAAGCGCCAAAAGCCATAAACCAACCAATGCGTTTTGCCTCTGCGGGCTCTCTTGGGAGGCCTCGTGGAGGCCTCCTGGGGCGTCTTCAAAGTATCCTGGGCCGTCTGGGGGCCATCTCGGGCGTCTTGGAGCGACCTTTGGGCGTCTCGGGGCCCTCGTGGAGCGGTTTGGGGCTCTCTTGGCGCTTTCTGGCGGCGTTTTGTGGACCTCAGGGGCGAGGCTCCGGTCAGGGGGCCCCGGACCCGGCCCCCCACTAAATGTATGCATGCGGGCGTGGAGGTCCACAGCGGGCAGCAAACTTGAGCCCCTCCGCCACTTACTCCAGATTTCGTAATAAAAGGGAGGTGGTCTCAACCCTCCCAGACGAGAAGTTTTAGACCCCCCCCCTGGGAGAACCCTCCAAAACATCGTCCCCAGACCCCCCCAGGCCCTCCAAGATAGCCTGGAAGAGACCCCCCCCGAAATGAGACCCCCCTCCCTTTATTACGAAATCTGGAGTACCTTGCGATCAGTGGGAGCCCTCCTTTCAAAAGCGGCGTCACACCCCAGGGAACTCCCAAGTGTTTCGTTTGGGCGTGCGTGTATCCCGTCAGCACGTAACGCTCGGGCGGCACCTCATGGAACGGACGCGTCGAGAAGGTGAGCGAACAGTTAGGAGGACCAGCATGACGGAGGGGAGGAGCACAAGGCGCAGGGGACGTCGAGGGCAGGGAGGAGGCAGAGGGAAGCACGGAGGGAGCAGGCAAGGACAAGGGGGAGGGGGAAGGAGGCAGGAGGCAGGCACAGGAAGGATACACGAGGAGCAGGGCTGAACCTAAACGGTGTTCTTCGATTTCGTTTTGATTTCGTTTTCCCTCGTTTTGTCTTCAATCCGCCTTTCACGCAAAACGAAATCGAAACGAAAACGGCCAACGAAATCACCATAACACCGTTTAGGTCCACCCCTGACGAGAAGGGAGGACGGAGGACGGAAGCCGACGGAAGGAGGCATGAGGAGCGGCGACGCGACGCTCCTCCTTCAGAACGCCATCGCCGGCTATGGGGTCGCCGACGCTGGCGGTGGATCCCACTGCTGGCCTACACGGCGCGCCTGCCGAGAGAGCGGGGCCGCCGGTCTTCCCGCCCGCAACCACTCCGAGCAGCCCGACCCCGTCCTGGCCTCCTCCTCCTCCTCCCTCCTTCTCCCTCCTTCTCCCTCCTCCTACTTCTCCTCCTCCTCCCTCCTCCTCCCTCCTCCTCCCTCTCCTCCTCCTCCTCCTCATCCTCCTCCTCCTCCTCCTCCTCCTCCCTCCTCCCTCCTCCCTCCTCCTCTCCCTCCTCCTCCTTCCTCCTCCTCCTCCTCCAAATGACCTTGAAGCTCAGCAATTGGGAACAGCATCGCAGATGGAGGGCGGGTCGTTTTCAAAATGTGGCTCTCGCCTTAGCGCCGCACACATTCGTTCTCAAAACTTGCAAGAGCTTCACGGATTGAGGGCGGGTGGTTTTCAAGATATGGCTCTCGCCGTAGCGCCGCGCACATTCGTTCAAAAAATTGGAAGAGCTTCGCGGATTGAGGGCGGGTGGTTTTAGCATGTGGCTTTCGCTTTGGCGCCGCACTGAACATCTGCAAGGAATTCACTGGTTCTCATAGTTAACATACCACAAATGGTGTTTTGGAGCGACTCAGGATTGTGAGGGCGCAACATGTACGTTTATTCGCGGTGCTGACATCCTAGGAACGGCGTTCTGGCACGAGTCCCGCTCGCCAAGACGTAACAAGCAGGTTAACTCTTGGCGTTGGAATCCCGAGAATGGTGTGTTGGCACGCTTGAAGATGTTCACACGGTTGCCCCGTGGCGGGGCAAGTCCTTCAGTGGAAATGATTCCTTGTAGGTACCTATGAAGACTCATCTTGGAGGGGGTGTGTATGTCAACATCGGTGATTACTCTTAGGTTTACACTGGTCCTCCTTCTCCTCCTCTTCCTCCTCCTCCTCCTCACCACCACCACCACCACCATCATCATCATCAGCAGCAGCATCATCATCACCATTCCGAAAAATCAAACGCCGCTGGCCTCTCTCATCATCCATCCACCGATGTTTCCGCTGGCGATCCGCCAAAGGTGAAACGCGCTGAAAGCGCGGCCCGTTCTGGAAAGCATCATCTGTCACTTCCGTCCCCCTGAAACAGCGGGCCTCTCTGGCGCACGCTGTTCTGCGGACCCACCTCATCCTGTTCCGCCTCATCCTCTTCCTCTTCCCTCTTCTTCCTCCTCCTCCTCCACCTCCTCCTCCACCTCCTCCATTCCTTCTCCTTATAGATAACTTCTCCATGTCGCACCCCGAGGCTAGGTTTTGGTGTCACCATATATGACTCTGACTGATGAGATAATGTGTTGATTAGCAACAAGATCTCTTTTCATCTTGAGCCAAAATAGGTACACGGAGGAGGGTGTCAGAATCACTCCTCCTCGGGCCTGGCCGCCAACCCGGCCAGGCACGACATGCGTCGTACGCGGGCGCGTCCAAGCCGACACGCCCTTCTCAACGTCACACGCGGGCGCGTCCCAGCCGACGCGCCCATCTCGTCACACGCGGGCGCGTCCAAGCCGACGCGCCCATTTCATCAGCCGGGCTGCGGCCATGCCGCGAGCCCCTCACTTCACCCGTCCGGTGCGATCCTACCGCCACCGGCGGAAACTCATCCAGCCCCACAGGTAGCGGAGCATGGATTCGATCCACTCCTTCACTTGATGTCCTTCTGGGTCGAACTCGGTGCCCGATCCCAGATGTTGAGCGTCGCCATATGTCTCCTCAAGAGAGATCCACCCACGCTCTTAGTCAGCACGTCCGCGACGTTGTTCTTACCAGGAACTGCGGCGATCGAAAGGTCGCCCTTGCCTACACGCTCCTGGATCCACAGGTATCGTGACTGAACATGTCGCATCTTCCCGAGACCTCGCCGTTGGACGTGGCCCCGGGCCGCCGATGAGTCTGAGGCGAGCTCCACCTTCAGGTCCAGCCCCCAGTCTGCGAAGAGGCTGTGTAGACCCAGGCCCACGCTCCCGCCCTTGACCAGGGCGTAGTACTCGCTCTCCCCACTGCTCAGAGAGACCGTCGACTGCAGATTGCTGCCGTGCTTGATGACGTGATGCCCCAGCATCGCCACGAAGCCTCCCGTACTTTTCCGAGTGACTGCACAGCCCGCATGATCGGAGTCCACGTACACCCGGATCTTGTCGAACATCTTCTGCTCCGTGAAGACCGTCACCGTACTGGGATGCCGCTTGAGGTAGCGGCCAACCCTCTTGAGCATGAGCCAACTCGCCTCCGTCGGCGTCTGCATAGACCTGGCGAGCGTCTTCGATGCCTCTGCCAAGTCCAGCCTGTCCTGAGACAGGTAGGCTACCCTCATGGTGAGGGATCGGAAGCGCGAAGCTTCCGCCGCTCCCAGCGCCGCTGACTTCGCGTCCATCATCTGCTTGTCGGCGCTGCGCTTCTCCATCGGCGTGTCCACGCCGTTGGCCTTGCTGAGACCCAGCTCGTCGATCACGATCTCTGCGTGCCGCTTGTCCGGCTCAATCATCGCATGCCGGCAGGGACGGCCACCGCCAGGCGGAACTCCCGCACTGACTTCGATGACCCGATTCAGGAAGACCGCCTGCTTGTCATCGCCCTCGTCGAAGCCGAGGTTCGCAGTCTTCTTGAACTCGTACTTCTTGCCCAACGTGGCTTCGAAGCTGTCGATGTCCTGCTGCTGAGCCAGCACCGCGAAGTCGTCGCCGTGCCCCAGCAGCCTTGTCTCGTCCACCTCCTTGTAGAAGACCGCTGGGCATGACATGCCCGCCTTGTAGCCGTGTTCCTCCAACAGCTCCGTGTAGTCGCCCTGCCAGATCTTGCTGGCGTCCTGCGTGCCGTACCAGGACTTGAGGAGTAAGCCACACTTGTCCTCGCCGTACTCCTTGCGACTCTCCTCCTCCAGCTCCACGAAGATCCTTCGCTGCGCCTTCCCGTAGAAGTGCGCCCTGCTGATGTCGAAGAAGCCGATCTTGAAGTTGCCCGGCTTCCTGCCCTTCTTGCGAAGCGACTCCTGAATGTGGAGCGGTGCTTCCCGCGTCCACGTGACCATCAGCGAGACCAGCGACCGCATGGCCTCCAGAGGAGGCATTGCCGAGAAGACCTCGGACGCCTCCAGCTGCTCGTCCGGACGCTTCTTCGCCTTGATCTCCTTCACGACGAGCCTGCTCCTGTAGTTGGGCCTCTCCGCGTCACCCTTGTTCGTGTCGACCCACTTGAGTGGGATGGGCGGACGCCCAGTCTCAGCGAAAGCCTGAGACCTCGGGACGATCTCGATCAGCTCCTGCTTCTTGACCCACTCGCGCTCGACCGCGCGAGCCTGGGCCACAAGGCCTGCCTCCAGGTAGCCGCCGTTGACGTCGTCCCAGTAGCTCGTCCAGTCCCCGGGCGGCACCGCCGCGTCCACGGGACTGGGCCCGACTGCTGCACCTGGGCGGTGCTGAGCTCCCCCACGTCGTTCAGCGTGTCCTTGAGCTCCTCCAGCACCGCCTCCACCAACTTCGGTGGATAGACCTTCGCGAACCGCGCGATGCCGCCCACGAGCGTGATGTGGCGATGCCACTCCGCGCGTCCGTCCACATTGCTGCAAGTGCCCTGCAGTCTCCGAGCCAAGCCTGGGTGGTTGGTGACCCACCCGGTCTCCTTGCGCACGAACTCCTCCTGGCCACTGCGTGGGTTCGTGAGCTTCATGCCCCACCGACACATGGGGCCTTTGACCGTGAAGACTCCTGGATGCGCGACCAGCTCCTTGACGATGTCCTCATCCCACGATCGCGCGCTCCAGGGATGCTCATGCAGGAAGTACCTGCCTGGTTTCCTGAGCTGACGCCAGTAGGCGTCGACTGCCACCTTCAGGTGGTGTCTGGCCTCCTCCATCTCAGCCGCCTCCTGCTCATCGGTCCTGAACTTGGCGCTCAGGCCCCTCAGCAAGCTGAACTTCTCGCATGGAGGGGACCCCGTAAGCAGGATGGGATCCATCCGCTCCTGCAGCTCCTCGAGCTCCTTGATGTCCTCGGGTCGCCACAAGTCCCACGGCGTCCCGTCCTCCTTGAGTTCCTCCAGGTCCGCCGCGAAGCCCGGGCGCAGCTGGAACTCCGCCGCTCGCGCCGAGAACCGATGCGGCGAGTACACCTCTGCCACGTCCACGGCGCCCAGCTGCAACGCCGATAAGGCGATGCTGTCCACCTCCTCGTCGGCGATGTCCACGCCGACACTGGCCCAGTGGCCGCTGACCTGTTCACGAACGAGCGGAAGCAACTCCGCCTTCGCTCTCGTCAGCACTCCGAGCTCGACCAGCTCGATTGACGCCACGTCGAGAGCGAGCACCCGCATGTGTCTCCCCTCGCTGGCGTTCCACACGACTGCCACTCCAGCTGGCAGCTGAGGTCCTTCCGCTGGCGCCGGCTGCGCCGCGAGGTCCTCCATGTCCACCGGTACCGGCACGTCTGCCGGCTGTGGATCACCGCGCTCGAGGGCCTCCGGCACGTCATCCGGGGCCACCTCCGCCAAGCGCTTCAGCCGCGACCTGGTCGCGGTCATGTCGACATCCTCGGCGGCCTCTGCCGCTCTCACTGCTCCCGAACTGGAGCTCGCTCCTCCTGAAGGAGCCGCCACGCCGGAGCCTGATGCTCCCGGCTGGCTCTCTCGCATGCGCGCCGCTGCTGCTGGCGCTGCTGCTGATCGGCTCGCGGCCGGCGCCGACGCCGCCGCTGCCACTGGCTCGGTGATCCTCCGAGCCGTCTTCGGCGGAGGGGTCCCTGCCGCGGCCGCTGCCGCCGGGCGGACTCTGGCCTCTTGGCCCTGCCTCCGCTCTCGATACTGGCCGGTCCTCTCCCGGCCTGCCTCCTCAGCGTCCAGCGCTTCGAAGATTCTCTTGCTGCACACCGCGTTGTGCGCATGGCCAGCCAGCACCTTGCCGTGCTTGGCGATCGAGACGCACCCTGGGCATCCCGGCGTTGCGCCCAGCCGCTCGACGTCCGCCTTGAGAACGTACATCCTCCTCGGCGCCTGCGGCTGCGGCGGCACCACCACAATCGG